CTACGCCAAGTGCTATAGAGACATCATTTCCATCGAAATCTAAATCCTTTGCCGATTTGTCGTCTTTGATGGCGTGATGATTGGAATGCCACTTAACCAATGCGGTTCTGCAATTCGACGATAATTTTCCAATTGATGCGCCGATGGTAAATTAGTTCACATGCAGATCTGATAGATATTGCAAGCTGTGATCTGCTAAGTATGGGGCCGAGGCTGTTATATATATTTCTGTATTAAGCTCAAATGTCGGCAGATCAGCATGAGGGGATGCTCTCCAAAATACATATTATATTTTCGATTCACTGGGCTGACTAAAACTTGTCTATCATTTTAGTAATGTCGGCTTTGTTAGCGTAACGAACCAATCGAAAAAGAAGGAGAAGTATAAACAGATACCCTTGTAGCACTGGGCCAACAAGTAGGAAATCATTCAATAAAGACTGGGATGATGTAACGCAAGAGGCGTCAAACACTCGAAAATGCGTTGTTATACTGCTGGACTAACACAATGGTGAGTTATGTAAAAGTGTGGCTCGCTTAATCTCGGATACGCCACTAAAATTATATGCTCGGGATCCTCATATTCTCTCATGAAAGTCACACAACTAAGGCGTCTCTCGAAGGCTAAAAAATGACGACATCTAATATCGCACCAAGGCGCGTTAGATCTCTCTTGAAGGTAGAAGCCCAACAATCTTGCGTTGTCCATCTTTGTTGTCTTGGAATACTTGTCTTTACAGAGCCGATGTTCCGGACTGTTTGACTTTGGCGAGTTTTGTATAGTATCAATGTTCCACAGTAGTTGAATTGTCAATTGGCTCCTCCACAGAAAGCAAGCACGTTGATGACTGTTTAGCCAACTGATGACGTATTTGCCAGACACAACCCATTCAAACACCGTTTTCAAAGGAGTGGCAAATTATCTCCGAGCTTGATCTGCCCAACAGTTAGGCATTCAAAAAATTCTTCTCTACCAGAAAGTTTCGTCCGCAAATGGTCTGACGTCTCGATTTCCTTATTACACTTCCTCATTTAAGTACACGTTTGAAGAGTTATCGACACTCATATTCAAAATAGAAGCTTGCCTCAACTCGAGGTCAATGTCCCCATTATCAGTGAACCCGGCTGACCTACTGGCCCTAAGTCCACGCCATTTTCTAGTAGATGGTCATCACATCGATGTAGGATCCTGAAATTAAAGTGAGTGTGGCGTCCATCCTGAACCGTTCAGTTCTGTTGCCGTTGGAAAAAGGATTACCTCAAAAAGAACAAATGGCAGCATGTAATGAAAAACCTTCGAAGCGGTGACATGGTTATCGTCGAGGACGCTAACCTTCCATCCAATGGCGGTTCGGCCAAGTCTAAGCCAGGCATCCATGCAAGGATAACATGGTCCGTGTGGTAGATGTATTTACTACCCGCTCCGATGTCACCATTCCGTCTTACTTCCTACTTTAGCGACATAGCTCCTCGCCCAAACAACAATACCTGTGGCAAAGACAAGCACAGAGGAGACGAAGCAAAGAGCACACTCAAGGCCGCGCCTGCCAAAGGAGCGGAAGGCGAAAACTGGCACTCGCCCCTCTCGACGCATCCATCACGGGAGCCGCGCTCGGTTTCCATGGCGCCAGCTACAACGCTGTCGTCTCTCCTCCAGCACAGGAGCATCAGTGTACTGTCTACTGCACTGGGATTCCTTGAAAACGGCACAAAACCCTTCGAGCCTATTGGCTAAAATCAACCATTTATTAATATTTTCTCGGCACAATGTATTTGAAACATTTGTTTTGAGGTCCCCGGGAATTACTGTTCTGTCTTTGTTGATTTTATGGAGCTTTGGCATGCACGCCAGTAGTGCTGTGTTTTACGTTAGTATGGTGTCCAAAGTCGTCGGCTGCCTGGTTTCTTTCCTTAATGGCCTTCAGCCGCTTGGGCCAGCGCTAAAGTCGATGGTAGATCTTTAGGGTGTCCTGGGAAAACTTCGAACCTTAAAGACCTGTAAAGCTCGGTGATGAATGGCCTCTGTATTAAGCAGGGCGGCTCAATATGGTTTATGATTCATAAAGATTTTATTTGTAATAAGTGCCAGCCTCGAACTCATCAAAATATTACAAAAGGCTCAAATCACCTTGCTTGACCATCTCTTGTCCCTGCCGGAGGATTCGTGGCGCGATACGATCGACGTATGTATTGTTTGCCTAGCAATTATTGCGCCTGATCTTATTTCTTATGATGGTAACGGCTTGATTGTGCAATTTACTATAACGATTTAATTTGCATCTACGACTGATAGCCTCAAACATACGCATTCATCCTGGTAAGTATCGAACTCCGGGACTATCTTTATTATGTCCAATTTCATCTCACAATTAATGTTTGATAGACAGCTATCCATGGCTATCATATGATGTGTCAGCACTATGAAGGAAGGTTAGAGAAAATTGTGTTCATAAGTAAAATTAATAATAATCTTAATTTACTATATTATTTCAGAAAAAAAAAGTTATTAATAAAATGAGGAAAAGTATACTAGATATATAGAGTGTTTAGTAAGTATGATAAGTGGTTAAGATTTATAGCCTAACCAGCAAGCTATGACCTTACTCTGCTGGGTAGCTGGGTATGGTCAATGACTCCCCCAAGGTATCCTGTAAGCAACGATTTTATTAGGGGGAGGGAAAGTTCGACGGAGAAGGAATACCAACTATTGTAATTTTTACATAACACTCCAAACGCATTGTGCATATAGTAATCTGTAGTGTACGTAGGTAAGAATAAGTGGCGATAATTCCCGGTAGGTAGACGCCCTAACAGAAAAGAAGAATCTATGTCGCTAATCAACTTATGTAAGAGGACAACACCGAGAATTGGCAAACGTTGGTTAAATACCGAAGATCAAGAAATATAAGGCTGCTGGAAGATTGGGGTCCCAATTTAAACATCCTAAGGCAAAAAGCAGAAACTGTTTGTGAAAAGATTTAATACGATCCTGACTATTATTATACTGTCGTGACCAGATACAAAAGCAGTATTCAAGGATGGGGCGAAAAAACAGATGTATAGGAGTTTGGTAATAAAATGATTTTTAGACCAACGTTTAATGAATCCAAGAACACCCTTAGCCTCATTAACGTTGGTAGTTATATGAAGGTTGCAGCAGAGCTTAGAAATAAAAAGACCGTCTTAATCCCTAACTGTTAGTATATGTTGCAATGGAGTATTGGCAATTTTATAACTGACAAATTAACACTTTAAACAATTCAGCTGCAACTGATTGGCCGAACAACAAAGTTGCATAGCGTACAAATCGTCTTGTAGACCAGAGTAATGTAGGGGATTACTGTATGAAGGAATAAGTTTCACATCGCCTGCATAATGTGAACCCGACTTGAGGTTGTCAGCCTTAGCATTACTCTTTGCGTCCTACCTTTTAAATAAGAAGAAATCAAACGCAAAAGAGATGAATGGAATCGGAAAAGGTCAAGTTTAAGGAGTAAAAGATCATGGTGCATGGTGCAATGGAAGATGGAGGGAAGAACTACTCTCCTTGAGTAGACGATTAGGAATATTGTCAGGCTAGGAGAGTAAGAAGATTTTAAAGAATTTATGGCAGAAAGCAGATTTTTTTTCTTTCTCTTTTATTAGCTATGTTTTTTCTACTATGAATGAGCATCTTACCCTAGCTTTACAAAAATGGATTAAACATACTTAACATTACACATAAAGTTTTAAAAGGCAGAAAGGAGAGAGTAATGGGAAATAATAGGAGCAAGTATTGGACCAGAGGAAATAATATTATAAGGGGTAGAATCATTATTAGGAAAAACTGAAGAGTAAATTGATTGGAAAAAATTAGCAAAGAGAGAAGAATCAGAATCATTGCCAGTAAAAAGAAGTTCGACTTCTGAAACTGAAGAGTAAATTGATTGGAAAAAATTAGCAAAGAGAGAAGAATCAGAATCATTGCCAGTAAAAAGAAGTTCGACTTCTATGTGGAATATTTAACCAAGCCAATACTCGAACTTGACTTATTAAACTTTTTAAAAGATAACGACTAAATATTGTTTAGGTTTGATAGTCTGGGAGTAGACTAGGGTGGCTGTGAAGAAGCAATTAAAGGAATTCAGTTGGGAATACAATCCAAGAGAGAATGCAGGCTGTTATACAACAAATTAAGAGCAAAATTCATATCAACCGAGTCATATTAAAAAGACCAGTCGGTTGAATGAATACGTTGACTGAGCAAGCAATAGTTTCCTTTCCATATGTAAATATTATATTGCAAAAATGAAAAGAGCATAGTGAAATCTTTAAACGCCGTGTTTAATCAAAATATCTTAAATGACAAACAAGTTTTCAGTACAACAACTTAATTTTCGACCGATCGTTCCTATGGCAGCTATATGATATAGTGTCCGATCTTAATAGGATTTTAAATGTATATGATGAGTATAGTTAAACCAATAAATGCCGAGTTTGGTCAAAATATAGTCAAAAACAAAAAAATGTTCCATACAACTTGACTTTCGATCCTTCCGATCCTTCCTATGGCAGCTATATGATATAGTGGTCCGATCCATCTGGTGTGACATATGTACTGCGTGCAACAGAAAGAGGGACTTCTGCAGTTTCAAAAAGATAGCTTTAAAATTGAGAGACTAGTTCGCATAGAAACAGACAGACGGACATGGCCATATCGACTCGGCTGTTGATGCTGGTCAAGAATATATATGCTTTATGGTATCGAAGATGTCTCTATACCCTCTGCAAGGGTATAAAAATATGAAATAGATTTTGTAGGATATTAATACGTCTATTTAGGACATGATTTCAGATGGAAGCTTGCTACCAAAACCGGTCACAGTATGGGTGCAAAATAAAAAATGACTCAACAGTTTTTACATTACATTTACATAGAATCGCAAATTTGTTTGAATGCAACATAAAAATTGTAATTCATATCATGAGTAACCCTTGTATTCAAGCATACATATGTAACTTGATCACTCCATTATTTTGTTTCTTAAGCGTTGGCACCTGTGTGCACTTATTTTGGTGAACATATATCCAGTTTTTGGGGCGCTTTATGCGTTTTTTTAGTTATCTCAGTGTATATTTATAAAAAATTTATTTATGAGCGCATCAACTCGAGCAACAACTCAAACAGGTAACTTACATTATAGGCATTTACATTTTTAATTGTTTTTAAACAAATTATTTATTAGCCATAAACAAGACCGTACAATTATAAATATTGTGTTTTTATTAACTATCCATTAGTTATTATAAACCAGTTAACGACTTAATATGTTAATGTTCCCTTCATATACACATATATTATTCATTTACGAAGAGCATACATTTATGTTTATGCATATGTATGTACATACATATCTACATATGTATGCATAGATATAAAACATATGTACATACTGTTTAACAAAAATATACTACATATACATACATATGTATATGACTGCTCGGCATTGTCAAGTCAAAGTTGATTCCAATCTGGGGTGTAATGAAGTTGTGCAAATGTATGTAACAGGCACAAGGGGACACTGCGACCCCATAAAATATTTATATACATACGTGTTAAGGACGATGAGATGAGTCGATCCATGAACGCGTCTGTCCGCATAACCGAGTCGATCTCTCCACAAAAGCCATATATATTAAATATCAAATATGTACTCATAAACAATACGCAAAACGTGACTATAAATATTTGCCGTTATCTCGCCTAATATCGATAACATCGATAAGAATCGTTTTTTAGACATGGTTTTTTAAGAATATGCACTAACCATACAAAGCATTGTATGGTATGGTATATGGTATATGCAACATTGTATGGTTAGTGATGTAACTCAAAAGTCCAATGAGCTAGACACACTAATACTGGCTTAATCTCGTTTAGAATAAAAATTTCCATGAAGAGAGTTTTTACTATATTTCACATCCTCCAAAAATGAAAATATAATATAAAATGGAGTCAAATTGGAGTGTTTGCAAACATCTGATATCAATATTTTTGCCTTCAAAATATCATAAGGGAACACCATAAGCACCGGTGGTATTTCATTATTCCACCAGTGGGGAATTTCATTAAAGAATGTTAGAATGTTTTTTTTTATAATTAATATAGAACATGCAAGTACACTGTAGTTATTTGTTAAACGTTTCCGAGCCGATTTCTTAAAATCCAAACCTACCAAAATAAAATTGTAATAACTTTTAATTTTTAGCTTTTGTGCAACGATCTGTTTTGACGTTTGGGTTGCACTTTCTTTTGTAATATTGCTATAAATAATTGCTATAAAAAATTGCTCTCAAAAACACTTAAGGGTCGAGACCTATGGAGTGGACGAAGACATGATGATATAAATTCATCGGATTAAATATTTTGACACTGCTCTGCACTTTTCACTTATAGTTTAAGTGTTATTTTTTTGCCTAGACCTAGCAAAAAGTATGTAAACTTTTCGTTAAATAATTTATGTATTTCCTTCTGCAGCGAGTTAGACCGATGATTTTATTGTGGTATAAGTGTTATAATATCACTGTACTTCGGGCTTAACTAATGTTCTCGTTGCTGATTTTCCTTTCTATTTCATTATTGAATTGAAATATATTATATAATATTGATTAGAAGAGAAATCGTGACAGTATAAAACTTTTGTATTTCCGTAATAACCATCGAAATACTATTTGTCGTGCCAAATTATTCACTAATAAACTTAGTGATAATAAAAATGAACAAGTAACCAAATTGTTCACATCGGGTAGAAAACGTTAGACTACAAGCCGTGAGGTATCCCTTTCCTCTCTCCCAAAACACCCAAAAATGCAAATTCAGCTCATTATTAGGAATAGCGGTTACTTATGTGACTAAATGAAATAGCAGTACACAAAAGCTTAATCGATGCTAAAATCGAACAAAGTCAACATCATTTAATACATGTGCTTCAGTGCTTTTAAGTCGCCAATGATGATATTGATAAGCTATTTTGGCGTTTGGCGTAATGTACTCTGGACAAATGAGAGTAGTTTTGAGTGCCATTAATTGAAAAACCCGTTTTTATTTGGTAATATAAAACAAAATTCCTGAATTCGCACGTCATTATGAATTCATGATGTGGGAAATAACTTCCATTAAATGGTTCTAAAATCAAGATCAATATTTAATGATTATGTAATTTCCTTTGGCGATCGACTAATTGGGAGAGCATTTGTTATCCAACAATATTATGCTGCTTATCATAAGATGATAACATTCCTAACGATGGTTCTCCTCGCAAGGGTGATGAAATAATAGATTAATCACATAAAATGTTTCACTGAAAACGCAAAAACTATAATAAATATTTTGAAATAAGTATCTCGTTGTTAACGCGACAATTGTAGCACGGAATTATCGAATACTTTGAAAATTCAAGTGGTCGATAAAAGCGTTTATTTTTAAACGAATATTTTTGTCATCCCTTTTGGTCTATAACTATTTGTATAACATTTGAATGTAGATGTAAAGAAAACTTTTCATGACAAATTAGGAGAAAGATCCAAAAAATTGAATTAAAATAAAAATAGCTTCCACGATCCCCTATCCAAAAGATGATATATTCTAAACAGCAACAGGTTACCTCGTGTTTCCTTCACTTGAAAGAACAACATAAGCTTATAAATGTTTATATGTTGTCTCGCTTCTTCTTTCGTACTTCTGTCTTCGTACCCGACCTTCATTTAAAACTTTAAATTAAGATCGTGCATATGCTTCGATTCTCAATTAATCGTATAATAGATCGTTTGCTACAGGTTGGCAGCACTGCCAGCTGGTAAGCCCAAAAAGAGTGAATGGTTATTGGAAGAAGAAAAACTCGCACATATTCCAAAACAGAATTAATAGAAAAATGTGAGTAGTTGTTTTATTTTTTATAAATGTTAAAACCAATTTCGCTTTGCAGAGAAAAGCATCGAACGCCTTTAGAAATTTTAATAATTTCTCAAATTTATCAAGGAGCTTCGTGACATCGCATGTAACTACACAAAAGAGGAAGAGCGAACTTTGTCAAAAGACTGAGCCGAATTGACGCCAGAGCTGAATGCAGTGGGCCCGTCATGTAAGGCTGACGAAGGGTAACGCCATGAAATTGTATGATTTAAAAGTAGTTATACATTATTAATGCATTCATTTATAATTAATAGCTGTGGTAGGATTGGAAACAATCAATAGAGAAGATTGCAGCACATAAAATGGTGAGAGGACCAACTGTCATCGCTCTTGTCATCAATCTTTATAAGAACTTGATCGTGCCTTACAAGATCTAGATAAAATTAAAAAAAAGGATGTGCCCAGAACACCATTGGGAACAAACACCGCCTCATCTTGAGCAAAGCACCTCAGCTATTTAAATAAATTCTTAGAAAAATTTGTTACTAAAAATAAAATATACAAAAATAGCTTTACTTTTTAAGAAAATAAAAAACCTTTTTACGATTTCAATGCCAATCGAAGTTTATTTGGAAAACGGGAGATTTCCAAAAATTGAAATGTTTGTGTGTAGACGATGCGAGAGTCTACATACATATGCATAAATATATCAAATTTAGTGATCGACTCAAGTATTGATGCTGACCAAGAATGTATATATATACTTTATGGCGTCTCAGATGCCTGTAACATACATTTGCACAAAGTCATCATACTCGTTTTACACAGTTAATTCACGGTTATAAATACGGCTCTTGGATTTCAATACTTTCATATTGCATTATTTTCATAAACTTGTGCCTTAAAAGTTTCTATTATTGGAATTATTAATCACATGATTTTGCACACGAATTACCTAGATAATGCCAATTAGTATCTGGAAAAACCGAACCCAAAAAATTGTGAAAAATAAGACAACTCAATTATCTTCTACACATCGTTTGCACATGCCAACGTTTCAGATGCGTTCTTCTTTTAGAAAAAAAATCACGCGACCAACTGTTATTTTCTTATTTCTTGGGCTCTTTAATTAATTCACAACGAATTTACACGTACACGTACGTAGCATTGAGTTTGCGAAACTTGGCGGCAAGAACATTTTAAGTAATGCTCATAAGTATCAATATTGAATCCTTAGTTAAAAAACACCTATTCCTCTTTTATTTGTTTATCAAAAAAGATATAAATATAGCCTTAAGCCTCTGTCCACTGACCCCATTTCTTACACATTTAAATAAGAAATTTAAATTTGTACTAATCCCACAGGTTTAGCATTTAAACATGGCGAAATGACGAAAAGAGTATGTAAAATTGTATTATGTGAGTTTTGCAAGAACAACTTTTCGGCGGTTATGAAATTTAAACCAACTCGATCAGCTGATTTTTTAAAGAAGCGGTACTTTTCTTTACTCACATGATACTTCCAAATTTTTAAAAACATCGATAGAAAATTCGATGAATCATCGCAAAACATACGATCTGTTCGGGGCGAATATACACATTTTTTGAAATTGTCACTGTGTTTTTTTTTTTATGGAATAACGTACAGGCCGCATTTAACACATTTTTCAAATATGTGCCATTTTCAAAAGTGTGTAGAAAATGTAGACAGTGTATGCTGACAGCCCTATAATGACGTCGCAATGTTAAATTGACAAACAGCTAACTCTAATGCAAGCACAGTTCCAAAAAAAACTAAATTTTTAGAAATTATTGTCAAATCAAACACACTGCTTGCAATAAAAAGACGAACCTATGAAAAGTTAAAAAACGATAGTTTATAAACTGAGAAACAAGATTGATTTGAGATCTTCGTGGTATCAGAAATATTATGATCATGTGCAAAAAAAAATGTTCACTAATTTTCGATCATTATATTTATTATATTATTATATATTGCTATATACCTCGCTTTAAACTAAACCAATTTTCCCAAAAACTTTTGTGGATGACTCAAACTCATGGCAAAAATAACAGGTACTTTTTAATACTTTTTTATTGTAACGGACATTTATAAATATATTATATATAAGAAATTATATATTTATATAAAAAATGTATATCAGCTAAAAGTTCCGGTTTGTAATCCGACCCTACCATTCTTAGGGTCTTTCCCGTAAGTTTGAGGTAGGGTCTGACAAATAGTTTGCTCCGAAATGTTAACTTCTTGCCCACAA